TAAACTAATTTTACTTTATGATATAGAAATTTTACTTTTATCAACTAAGATAAAAAAAATCTTATTTCTTTCTCACAAAAAAAAAAAAAATAATAAATCTTAGTTACTTCTTTCATAAGTATTCTCGCTTATAGCTTTTGCCCATGCGAGAAAAAAATTTCAAGTTGAAGAAAATGACCATATAATTTTCAAAGTTGTTGATATATAGTGGTTAGCGTTTATTTTTCTAACAGATTTCTTCAGATTCAATTTTAAGGGCATTGAACCAATAATAACCACTGAATAAATATATTTATCAAATTTTATTGATCATTTTTTTTCTTTACCAAATCACAATTTTATAGATAAAACTTCATTTCCATCAAAGGAGAAATTGTTTACATAGCATGAAACCAAAGCCAACAAGACCGTCAAAGACAACGCTACAAACGCAAAACATAATGCATAAAAAAAAATGCGGTCCAAGCGCTTAAAAAACTAAAGTCGTGGATAATATCTACGTCAATGTTGCTAAGAGGTGAGATAATGCCGGAAACAAAGAAGTACACACGGTGATCCAATGCCCGAGATTGAAATTACCACTAGGAAAGAATAATCAATCATGATTTTGGCTATAAGCGCAGATGTACACTGGCTTACAAAGCCTTTGAAGAGGGTAAGATCCGAAGCATTTGCAATCTTCAACTCAGAATTGCCTGCAATGAAACCATTCAAAAAAAATGGGAACATTGGGAGAAAAACATATTCCATAATGGAAAATTCAAGGCAACATAAGACCAAACAAACCAGATCATTACCAACCTCATTCCAAATAACCTACCACAAGAATAGCGAGAAGAACTTCATAACATGAAAAGCTAGAAAGCATAACCTGCATACATTAGTAAAGGATCACACAAAGACGAAAGATGTCTCAATAAGAGAAACTAGGAGGACGCTAGTCAAAACCTCAGTTCGAGGTTATATCAAACCACACCGCATATGATAAGAGAAAGCCATAAGCAACAATCTAGGAATATACACCATAAGCAACGAGTTTCTAACCTAGGAATAAACACCACCGGTGTCTATGTCACCTTTTATGCACATTTTATTGATCATATATTCATAAAACTTAAAACCAACCGGACGAATCATTATGATCCATAACCAACATTATTAATAGAGAAATTTTGAGATATGCCATTTTCCACATGCCATTTTTTTAAAATGTCACATTTAAAAAAAAATTGCAAACATGCCACTCTTCTTTTTCAATATTTAAAGTATTTCCTTTGCCTCATTTGACTTAGCTTTCCCATATTTAAGTTTTTCAGACTATTCTTCTGATCTCAAATATTTTTGTCTTCGATCTCAGATCTCATCTCTTTCTCTATGAACCAAATCTCATCTGTCTCTCTAAACCAAATCCCATCCCCCCCTCTCTCTATAAACCAAATCTCATATCTCTCTCTGAAGATTCGAGAACTAATTTTTGTTGAAAAAGAATGTGGATTTGAGATTGGATCTAATGGATTTGGGTAGAAGAAGAAGAATATTCTCACAC